AACGCAGGGAACGCAGGTAGGGGCAGGCCCCGGAGGAAGGGGAGGGAGGGACCTGGGGAGACCAGAGACAAGGACACGGGAGGCCATGCCTCGGAGACGAGGCAGGGAGGGGTAACCAAGGCGGTGGTGCCAGAGGAGAGTCTGGTGGGACAGGAGGCGACACGAGAAGGGGGCAGACTCAGGACCAGACCGAGACGCTGCAGCAGACACCTGACCCGACGCAGCAACCTGAACAGACGCTGTAACCGAAGGAGACTCAGTCGTCAGTGTGTACAGGCTCGACCCTGGCTGACCGGTAAACGTGGCCAAGTGTCGGCCCGTCCGAGCACACGTGCAGTGGGTCACTCACTGACTCGCAGGAGTGAACTGGTCAACCCCTCCATCCTGCAGGTCAGCACCACTCACCAAGTTTGTAGAGAAAGAAGGGAGGTAAAGACCTGACAGAGAGCCAGTCGGGGCCGCCGGACACAGTAGGACAGTGGAGTAGTGAGCAAGGATAGGACCCCCAGAGGGGTCTGCCAGGGAGACTGCAACCGGCCGACTAAGGGGTGTGAGGGTGGTGCGGTCTCGAAAGAAGGAGCGGGAAGCACCCGAGTCAAGGGTGAAGGTGCGCAAGACCGCAGCAGGCGCAGCACTAGAGAGAGCAGACTCACCAGCACCTGGAGCAGGAGACTCACTAGCACCTAGAGCAGCAGCCTCACCGACACCTGGAGCAGGAGACGCACGAGCACCTAGAGCAGCAGCCTCACCAACACCTAGAGCAGCAGACTGGATATCGGGGTCACGCAGCACACACAGGTGACAGGCACCCTCAGCACTAGTAGACAATGCATACATTGCAGTGAGAAGAGCATCATAGTCAAGAGCAAAGATATCTACCCTTTGCCTAAGCAGCTCCAGCCAGGAGGGGAGCTCAGCGTCGTCGCCATACTCCGTAATCCAAGCGTCGCTTAGACGGGCGAAGCAGCGGGACTCTGTGTGACCAGGAGTCCCGCATATGTGACCAGTCCGGACACCTGTGCGAATGACGTACGGGCAGCGAGCAGTACTCAGTGACCTTCTACTCTGAGCGTACTACTTGCAAAGCTGCTGGGGAGAAAGGGTCTTGCGCGGACGACGCTGCAGCTGCACCTGGCCACTACAAGAAGCTCCCCAACTACTCACTCCAGGACGACTCCCACTAAGGCTGCCCCGACAACCCCAACTAGCGTACCACTCACAAAGCTGCTGGGGCGGGAGGGACTCACGCGGACGTCGCTGGAGCTGCAGCTGGCCACCGCCAGGAGTAGTAGTAGCAGTAGTAGCCGCAGTAGCAGCTGTAGCAGTAGTAGCAGTGCGGCCACCCCTAAAACCCCAACTAGCGTACCACTCACGAAGCTGTTGAGGCGTGAGGGACTCACGCGGACGGCGCTGGAGCTGCATCTGGCCACGCCAGGAGCAGCAGTAGCAGTAGAAAGAGCAGTAGCAGCAAGAGCAGCAGTAAGAGCAGTATGGGTAGGGCAGTGCTCACCAGTGGCGAGAAGGGCAGGCGTACGACGGCAGCAATGGCGAGGTCGCGACCACTGTAGGGCGAGGGCTCCGCGGCAGCTGCAGGGGCGGCTGCTCCAGGGGCGGCTGCTGCAGGGGCGGCTGCTGCAGGGGCTGCTGCACCAGGGGTGGCTGCTCTAGGGGCGGCTGCTGCAGTGGTGGCTGCTCCAGGGGCGGCTGCTGCAGGGGCGGCTGCTCCTGTTAGAGACTAAGGACGGAGTCTATGAAGATTAGGTGCCCAAAATTCTCAAAATCGTTGGTCTTAATTTCTGGACAGAAACGTCGATTTCACAAGAAACGTTGTCGACAAAATGTGCACCGTTAGAATCCCACGAAATTCGAATATGTTGTAGCCCTAGACCGTGGCTACATTTCCCAATTCGAATCGTATCAAAATATGAAGCATATCTCCAGTTATGTTTTTCGGCGCACTAGGGGGTATGCTGCCACAAAAATTTAACTTAATCACAATTAACTCACAAGTCCCACAAAAGAACATTAGAGTAGCACTAAACCTGGTAGGAGGGGAAGAGGAGGATGAAAGGGAAGGTCCCAAGAGAGAGTCCCCAACCAAGGAAACCCCATGCCACACAATTCCCTTCCCCATAGGCAACAAACTTTGACCTTTGTCACTTTCCAACCCATGCCATCCACCTCACCTCAACTTGGCCACACTTACCAACCTGGTTTGGCTTCACCCAACCTCTTGGCAGCATCTACAGTGATGGGTTCGAATTTCCCAACCCCCACAAGTTTGTACCCCATATTGAGTCAATGCCACAACTTCCCAAAGTAGCTGCAACCAAAATATATAAGTATACGAACTCCAATGTTCGTAACTTTCTTGGTTGTGCTCCGATCACGACGATTCATGGTTCGTCGGAAAGCTCTTGAGTAGAGGAAACACTTCAGATATCTGCTCAAGCCAAATAACATACACACACACACGCGGAAAATCCAAACCACACAAGACACAAATTTCTTGCACACGCTCACACCACGCATGCAACGCACAAACACATGATGGGAGGCAGACAGACGTGAATGCATATGGTTGCATCACACAACAGCTCTAGGGATGGCTGCTCCAGTGGCGGCTGCTCCAGGGGCGGCTGCTGCAGGGGCGGCTGCTCCAGGGGCGGCTGCTGCATGGGTGGCTGCTCCAGGGGCGGCTGCTGGAGTGGCGGCTGCTCTAGGGGCAGCTGCTTCAGGGGCGGCTGCTCCAGGGGCGGCTACTGCAGGGGCGGCTGCTCCAGGGGCGGCTGCTGCAGTGGCGGCTGCTCCAGGGGCGGCTGCTGCAGGGGCGACTGTTCCAGAGGCGGCTGCTGCAGTGGCGGGTGCTCCAGGGCGCGGGTTAGGGCAGGGGGCCGCGGCGGGCAGGGGTGACGCGACGCGGGTCCCGCAGGGGCGTTGCGATGAGGCAGGGGCGACGCGCGGGTCCCGTTGAGGCGTCGCGATGTGGCAGCGGCAACGGGGCGGGGCCGCGACTGGCGACAGGGCGGGGCCGCTACGGGCAGCGGGGCGGGGCCGCGAAGGGGCCGCAAAGGGAGCCGCGAGGGGGCCGCGAAGGGGCCATGAAAGGGCCGCGAAGGGGCCGCGAAGGGGCCGTGAAGGGGCCGCGAAGGGGCTGTGAAAGGGCCGCGAAGGGGCCGCTAAGGGGCCGTGAAGGGGCCGTGAAGGGGCCGCCAAGGCGCCGCTAAGGGGCCGCGAAGGTGCCGCTAAGGGGCCGCGAAGGGGCCGCGAGGGTGCCGCGAAGGGGCCGTGAAGGGGCCGTGAAGGGGCCGCGAAGGGGCCGCTAAGGGGCCGAGAAGGGGCTGCCAAGGGGCCGCGAAGGGAGGCCGCTAAGGGGCCTCGAAGGGGCCGCAAAGGGGGGGGCCGCGACGGGCCTCAGGAGCAGGGCAGGCCACTAAGGGGCCGCGAAAGGGTAGGGCAGGTCAGAGCGCGAGGCGCGCTTCGGGCAGGTTAGGAAAAAAAAAATGGTGGGCCCTTAGGAAGAAACGGTCCCACTAGGGAACCTGCTCTATACCATGTGAGAATAACGAGGAAGTGGTTGACTAAGGGAAAGGTTGGGTACAAGTACAAACCTAGAAATGTGTTGTACCCCATATGTGCTACCCCACTATAGCCTACACAGGCTAAGTCATACAAGTCTGACACAAACCACGACAGCAAATTCTCCTCGATAGCACCACACTCGAAACAGGACACCTGCCAATAAATGCCTACATTAGAGCCTAAGGGCGCGTAACCATTTTGCACCCGACGGTTCGAACCGTGGACCACTTGGGTAGCGAAATGGTAACAAACTTCGCACAATGTTGTAAATATGTTCGCTAAGGTGTTGGCGACATCGCCAACAAAACGGACAGAAGTGACACTTTTTCCCACTTTCAACGGTCCGAAATCTGAACCGTGGATAGTCCGAATTCCAAACGGACTGTCCGACAGTCCTTGCATACGATTGGAGGGCGGCGCAAAAATTGTCGAGTCATCTCGTCCACCAACAAAAAAGTACGAGGCTACTTCACGAATCAACATTGACCAACGAGAGACAACCCGTAAACAAAAATGATTCGATAACGACATCTGCAAGCTTGAGACAATTGTGTAACGCTTGTACAGTGATCGCGAAACTGTACATTAGGAAAAAAGTGTAACAACTGTCTTCGGACAGTCCGAAGTTGCAAAAAAGTCAGTCGGACGATCCCGTTCTCGATAAGTGGACCGTCCACTTTGTTCTAAAGCCCAAGACCTGAATTACTCAACGGAAGTCAACGCTAAAAACTAGGCTCGGGAGGTAGGCACGGAGAGGTTCGGTTGGGTTGCGAGAGATTTTCACTCGCGAAACCAATTTGCGACAAAATTTTCTCGCTTCCCATGATGGTTGGTGCCCTTCCCACAACCAGAAAAGCGCGAGCTTATCAAACTGTGCACAGTTTGAGATAGCACGCAGAGTATTAGGCATAGACCAGACCTGTAGACAGGGCAGGGCGTCGGCGTTCACTCAAAAGGGAGTAGATGCGCCATACAATTTGGGTGGCGCGGATTTGCAATGATGACGCGCAAAGCTAATTTGCGTTGGGTGAAGATTATTGTGTCGAAATGCAGGTTATTGTGCAACTACTCTGTAGCGTAAACTCGTGGCGAAAATCAAATCGCAACCGTTCGCCCAAACGTGACCCTCCCCTCGCCCTCGCTTTCCTTTCCCACGCTTCCGCTCTCTTTCGCCCGCGTCGTCGCCATCGCTTCCGCAGCTCGTCGCGTGCCCGTCGCCTTCGCTCCGCCCGTCGCCTTCACTTCTCCCCTGTCGCCTTCACTCCCCCCCCTCTTTCGTTGCCTTCATTTCCCCCTCCCGTCGCCTTCACTTCCCCCTCCCGTTGCCTTCACTTCCCCCTCCCGCCGCCTTCAATTCCCCTTCCCGTCGCCTTCATTTCCCCCTCCCATCGCCTTCATTTCCCCCTCCCGTCGCCTTCATGACCCCCTCCCGTCGCCTTCACTTCCCCCTCTCGTCGCCTTCACTTCCCCTCCCGTCGCCTTCATTTCCCCCTCCCGTCGCCTTCATTTCCCCCTCTCGTCGCCTTCAATTCCCCCTCCCGTCACCTTCACTTCTCCCCCTCGATGCCTTCGATTCCCCCTCCCATCACCTTCCACGCCTGCCGCACTCGCTTTCCCCCCGTCACACTCGCTTCCCCCCTTCTCACTCGCTTCCCCCCTGCTCACTCTCTTCCCCCCTGCTCACTCGCTTCCCCCCTCCTCAATCTCTTCCCCCCTGCTCACTCTCTTCCCACTCTCTTCCCCCCTACTCACTCTCTTCCCCCCTGCTCACTCGCTTCCCCCCTCCTCAATCTCTTTCCCCTTGCTCACTCGCTTCCCCCCTCCTCATTCTCTTTCCCTCTGCTCACTCCCCTTGTTCTAACCCCAGTTTCCCCATTTCTCACCCATTTTCCCCCTTCACGCTCTCTTACCCCCTCTGCTCGCCCCTGTTTTCCCGACTCACGCCTATACTCACTCTCTCCCCCCCTGCTCACTCTCTTCCCCCCCTACTCACTCTCTTTCCCCTTGCTCACTCTCTTTCCCCCCTTCTCACTCTCTTTCCCCCTTCACGCTCTCTTTCCCTCCCTTCCGCCCGTTGCCCCCCTTCGTCTCGCGCTCGTCCCCTCGCAATCCCCGTCTCTCTCTCCCCCCGTCGCCCTCGTTTTCTCCGTTGCCCTCCCTTCCACTCCTCGTTGCCCTCGCCATCCCTCCCTTCTCCCTTCCCATCTCGCACACTTGTCACGCCCCCTTTCCAGCCCGCACATACACCCTTCCCTTCTTCCCTGTTTCCTCGTATCCCCTGCGCTGCTTCCCCCCATCCTTCGACTTGCTCCCCCCATCCCCTTCCCTGCTTCCCCCCAACCCCTTCCCTGCTCCCCCCCATCCCCTTCCCTGCTTTCCCCCTTCCCCTTCCCTGCTTCCCCCCGTCCCCTTCCCTCCTTCCCCCGTCCCCCTCCCAGCATCCCCCCATCCGCTTCCCTGCTCACCCCCATCCCCTTCCCTGCTCCCCCCCATCCCCTTCCCTGCTTCCCCCTATCTCCTTCCCTGCTTCCCCCTATCGCCTTCCTTGCTCACCCCTGCTCCCTCTGTTTCACCCTTGCTCCCTCTGTTTCACCCTTGCTCCCTCCCCTTCTTCTCTGCTCACTCTCTTCCCCCTTGCTCACTCTCTTTACTTCTGCTCACTCTGTTCCCCCCTGCTTCCTCTCTTCCCCTCTGTTCAATCTGTCCCCCGCTGCTTCTTCTCTTCCCCTCTGCTCATTCCGTTTACTGTCTTTCCCCCTTCACTCACCCCCATACCCCCCAATGCAGTTATAGGTGTCAAACATTATATATGTTGTTGTAGTTGTTTAGGCTACAGTGGGTTAGCCTATAGGGGGTACACATTCCTAGGTTTTGATACTTGTACTCATTTCACTCTTAGTTCATTCATTCTTGTTCAACATGGTATAGAGCAGGTCCTTCCTAGGACCAATTTTTTTTTAGGGCCCACCACTACCTACCTACCTACCTGCGCCCTAGGGCGCCTCGGCTTTCACGCCCCTAGAGGCCCCGTCGGCCCCGCGCTCTCGCACCTAGAGGCCTCGGTCGGCCCCGCGCTCGCTTTTAGAGGCCCCGAATCGGCCCCGCGCTCTCGCACCTAGAGGCCTCGGTCGGCCCCGCGCTCGCTTTTAGAGGCCCCGAATCGGCCCCGCGCTTACCCCTAGAGGCCCGCGTCAGCCCCGCGCTCGTCCTTACCGGCCCCGATCGGCCCCGCGCTCGTCCCTCACGGCCCCGATAGGCCCCGCGCTCGCCCTTAGAGGCCCACGTCGGCCCGGCGCTCGTCCCTCACGGCCCCGATAGGCCCCGCGCTCGCCCTTAGCACCCACGTCAGCCCCGCGCTCGCCCTTAGCACCCACGTCGGCCCCGCGCTCGTCCCTCACGGCCCCACCCGCTCCCGGCGCTCGCCCTTAGCGGCCCCGAACGTCCCCACCCAGACCGAGCAGCCCGAACCGAGCCGACCCGAGCCGCCCAGCCCTAACGGAACCGAGCCGCCCGACCCGAGCCGCCAGCCCTAACCGACCCGAGCCGCCCGAACCGAGCCGCCCGAACCGAGCCGCGCCGCCCGAACCGAGCCGCCCGAACCGAGCCGCGCCGCCCGACCCGAGCCGCCCGAACCGAGCCGCGCCGCCCGACCCGAGCCGCGCCGCCCTACCTATACCGAGCCGCGCCGCCCTACCTGTACCGAGCCGCGCCGCCCTACCTACCCTACTGCTCCTACTGCTTTTCCTATTGCTGCTACCATGGCTAGCCCTCCTGTCCTAGCCTTCGATACTGAGGGCCGCCCAGTGAAGTTCGACACCTGGCTTGATGACCTACACCTCTTCCTACAGCTCACTGCCAAGGAAGGCATCTCGCTGTACGATCATGCCTTAGGCCACGCTACTGCTCCTGCTGCTACTGCTAACAGCACTGCCCGCTCACAGTGGCAGACTCGTGACGCCCATACTCGCTTCGCTATTCGCAACTCTCTGCCGATAGATGAGCGCGAGCACTTTGGGCAGCACAAGACTGCACAGGCACTGTACACTGCTGTCGTTGCCCGCTACTCCTCACCGGCCTCTGCCGCTCTAGGCCGTCTCTCTCTTCCCTACCTGTTCCCCGACTTAGCTTCCTTCCACACTGTCGCTGATCTCATTACCCACCTCCGCACTAGTGAGGCTCGCTTCCGCGCCGCTATGCCTGATGAGTTCCTTGCCAAGAACCCACCCCCGCTCTGGCTCACTCTCTACCACCTAGTCACGCGCCTCCCTGACACTCTGCGCTCAGTCAGGGACCACTTCCTAGCTTGCTGCCCCACCGAGCTCACCATTGCCCTCCTCGAGAAGGAACTGCTTGCAGCTGAGGCTAGCATAGTCGCTGTAGGTGCCTCTCGCGGTGACCCCCGTACCCCGTTCTTTGAGGGGTGTTCTCCCTCCCCCCTTCTTCCCTCTATCGCCTATGCTGCTGCTGTCGACCTCCTTGGTGCTGAGAAGGTCGGGACTGCGTCTGCTTCGAGTGGGCGCCGCAGCGGCAAGGGCAAGGGGGGCAAGGGCGGTGGTGGTGACAGCGGGGGTGGCGGTGGTGGAGGAGGTGGTGGTGGCGCGGGGGGTGGCGCGGGTGGGGGAGGTGGCAGCAGTGGGGGGGGTGGCGGCAGCGGCGGGGGAGGTGGCCGGGGCGGAGGAGGTGGTGGGGGTGGCGGTGGACGAGGCAGCGGCCGGGGTTGGGGTGGTCGAGGAGGTGGTAGCGGCGGTGGTGGTCGTGGAGGCGCTGGCGGTGGCCAGGGCCAGCAGCACACTCCGTCGCCCTAGGAGGTCCGTGAGTGGTACTCTCAGCACGGGGGGGGGGGGTGGCCTTAGCTGCACGTACGTCATTCGCACTGGTGACCGCACTGGCCAGCCGTGTGGGGGACCGCACGCCACACAGCGTTGCTTCGCTCGTCCGAATGTCGCTTGGCGTGTTCAGTTCCCTCAGGCCACTGAGCTGCCCCGCTGGGTTGATCTCCTGAAGAAGGGGATTGATATTTATGCTCTAGACTTTGATACTATTCTCACTGCCATGTATGTGATATCTACTAGTGGAGAGGGTGCTGAGTACCTGAGTGTCCCGCCCGACCCGGGCATTAGGACTAGTGCGTCTGCCGCTCCAGGTACTCGCGTGTCCCCTACCCCAGGTGCTGGTGAGGCTGCTGCTCTAGGTGCGTGTACGTCTGCCCCCCCTAGTACTGTGTCGACTTCAGCACTGCACACCTTCACACTGGATTCAGGTGCCTCTCGCTGTTTCTTTCGTGACCGCACTGCCCTTGAGCCCCTTGCTCGGCCAGTTGCTGTCTCCCTGCTGACCCCTCTGGGGGTCCGGTCATTGCGACCTCTTCCACTGTCCTTCCCTGTCCTGCGGTCCCGTCGGGCACACTGTCAGGTCTCCACCTCCTCTCGTTCTCTACGAACTTGGTGGCAGGTTGTGCACTACAGGACGCGGGTGTTCACCAGTTCACCCCTGCCTACGAGCGTGTCACACACTGCACGTGTGCCCGTACAGGCCGCCACTTGGCTACCTTCACCCGGCAGCCGGGGTCGGATCTGTACACACTGACTACTGCCCCCCCTCAGGTCGCTGCGTCTGTGTCTGCGTCCGCGTCAGGTCAGCTGTCCGCCCCCTGCTCGTGTCGCTCTCTAGCGCACGAGACTATCCTCTGGCACCACCGACTGGGCCACCTGTCTGTGCAGCGCCTTCGTGCCATGCACTCCCGGTACCTTGTCTCTGGTCTTCCCAGGGTCCTCCCTCCCCTCCCACCCTCGCCTGCTCCTCCCTGTCTTCCCTGTGTCGAGGGGCGGCAGCGCGCCGCTCCTCACTCCTCCTCGTTTCCCCCGACGACTGCTCCTTTGCAGACGCTCCACATGGACGTGTGGGGCCCAGCCCGCGTCCGTGGTCAGGGTCAGGAGAGGTACTTCCTGATCGTTGTTGACGACTACTCGCGCTACACCACGGTCTTCCCCTTGCAAGCCAAGGGTGAGGTCCCTGATGTTTTGATCCCTTGGATCCGCAGAGCTCGTCTCCAGCTCAGCGAGCGTTTCCGCTCGGACTTTCCTGTCCTGCGCTTGCACTCTGACAGAGGTGGTGAGTTCTCCTCCGACCTCTTGGCAGCCTACTGTGCTGAGCACGGCATTGAGCAGTCGTTCATGCTTCCGGCCTCTCCACAGCAGAATGGGGTCGCGGAGCGCCGCATTGGCCTGGTCATGGAGGTAGCTCGTACCTCCTTGATCCATGCGGCTGCCCCCCACTTTCTGTGGCCGTTTGCGGTCCAGTACGGTGCGCATCAGCTCAACCTCTGGCCTCGTGTCTCCTTGCCGGAGACCTCGCCCACACTGCTGTGGACGGGGGAGGTTGGCGATGCGTCACGTTTCCGGGTCTGGGGATCTCGAGCTTTTGTCCGCGATTCGTCTGCGGACAAGCTCTCCTCTCGTGCTGTTCCCTGCGTCTTCCTCGGCTTTGTTCCGGACGCGCCTGGTTGGCAGTTTTACCACGCCACCTCGCGCCGGGTCTTGCCCTCTCAGGACGTCACTTTTGACGAGTCTGTCCCCTACTACCGCCTCTTTCCCTACCGCACTGCCCCGCTCCCACCCCCGCCTCTCTTCCTCGCGCCAGGTGCTGCTGTCGTAGACCCCCTCCCCCCTCAGGGTGCCGCTCCCTCAGGTGTGTCTCAGGTAGACCCGGTCGAGCCTGTTGAGGTTGCTGTCGACTCTCGTCCTGCTGGGGGTGCTGAGCCTGGGGGGTGCGGAGACTGGGGGTGCTGAGCCTGGGGGTGCTGACTCTAGGGGTGCTGAGCCTGGGGGTGCGGACTCTGGGGGTGCTGAGCCTGGGGGTGCTGAGCCTGGGGGTGCGGTGACTGGGGGTGCTGAGCCTTGCGGTGCTGGGCCTGAGGGTGCTACACCTGGACGCGACCTCTCCTCGGAGCAGTTGCGTGAGTGGTACTTACAGTACTGTAGCCTCCGGAGTGTTACCTCTGGGACCAGGCGCACTACAGGGAGTGGGGCTGGTACTTCTCCTCCTAGTCGGGAGCTCCCCTCTCGTGAGCGGATCCGTGAGTGGTACGAGCGCCGTTGCACACTTCGAAGTGGTGCGCCTCGTCTCACGGACCCGGCTGCCCCTGGTACTACGGACCCGAGCGTTGGAGCTGCTGCTGGTGCTGCGGACCCTGGCGTTGGAGCTGCTGCTGGTGCTGCGGACCCGAGAGTTGGAGGTGCTGCTGGTGCTGAGGACCCGGGCGTTGGGGCTACGGCTGGTGCTGCGGACCCTGGCGTTGGAGCTGCGACTGGTGCTGTGGACCCTGGTGTCGGAGTCCCTGCTGGTGCTGAGGACCCGGGCGTTGGAGCTGCGGCAGGTGCTGTGGACCCTGGTGTTGGAGCCTCTGCTGGTGCTGAGGACTCGGGCGTTGGTGCTGAGGCTAGTACTGAGGACATGGGCGTTGGAGCTGCTGCTTGTTCTGGTACTGCCGCTGGGGGTACAGGTGCTGTCCCTGTTGTGTCTGGAATCGCCGCGCGCCCTCAGCCGTACTTCGTTCCGCTCCTTCAGCACGTTCTTGGTCTCTCGCCTCCTCCTGGTCCCCCTCCCTTAGCGTGTTCACAGCCTGTCCCGTCACAGTTACAGTTGCAGCCGGCCTCCCCACTACCTGCTCCTTCTCCTTACACTGGTCCTATTGGCGGTCTTACTGAGCGTCGTGAGTCTGCGTCTCGTCCTGCGTCGCCTGTCCGTCCTGCTAGCGCTAGTGCTCGTAGTTCGCGCCAGCGTCCTCCTCCTGC